GGTAATATTGACTCACAATATCAAACTAATAACTTAGCAAAATTATAAGTTTATCTTAATGATCTTGAGATATATATATATAAAATTACATTTATATGTACATGATTGCAAGTGGTTATTTAAAACATTGTCTGACTAAATAAAAAAACTCATTTGGTAGTATGCAAGCTGAACACTGCTACTATTTCTAACATGTAGAGAACTTTTGTTTGAGGAAGATATCCATAGTTACTAATCACATATAATTCACAATAAACAAAGAGATTATATTAGCTTTGAATAACAGGAAAACACAATTTTCCTGAGATGAATAAGATGCTTGTTCTTACATGAAAGGACTGGATGAAACCAATCACTACATAGTGCCTCAGAGGCATAAGCTCCACATAGCTGTTTTTTTCTTTGATGGCCATTATAGCTCTCATTGTGAATCAATATCAGTCATTATCTATATTAACAAATGTGTTTATATACAAACAACAGACTTCGTAAGAATATAACTATGACAAGAGCCACGTCAGATAATCAGAATATTCCCAACCATAACAATATGAATTGATTACTTGGACTCATTATGGCTTTCAAAAAACTCCAGATTGCAGTTGGATCTTTCATATGGAGCTTGTAAAGACATCTATGGAAACCTATACTTCTGAGAATGTGAAAGTGAAGTAGTTGACAGTGGTTTGCCTATTCTTGGGTGGCAGGACAAAGAATCAGGAAAATGAGCTAAATGATGGCGTCTGCACAGCCCACGTGATGCCTCCAAAATACAACTAATACCTTCCTTGCTTCTGCCTTCCAACATTCCTGGAAGGTAGGTTATTGATGTGGTATAACATAGAATCATTAAAAAAAAAAGAATTCTGAAAAGTCCCATTCCCAACGTCACCCACACTGATATAACACAATTCATGAATTGCATTTCCCATTCTAGAATTTATTGTCCTATCACAGCTCTCTCCTTATCCCCAACTTAATTATATTTAATACAAATAACAGCCAGAATAAAATACAAATAGTAAAAGGTAATAGATGAAAATAATACTTTTCATGAGATATAGTCTATGATAAACTTTACATATGAACAGAAAATGGAATTAACTTCTTCATGTCAAAAAAAAAGTAGTTATTCTCATAAAAATAGTGGAATATATGTATATAATAGGAAAGAAAATCACAAACTTGGTAAAGGAGGCCAGTGGGTATATACAAACATTTATTAACAAAGACTTATTTTTCCATGGCCCTAAATCACATAACAATTAAACAGACATAGAAAAATTCAGCATATCTGGACATTTAAATTTATACATGGATTAAACATACTTTAAAATGGAAAGACAAACATTGTATTAGCTGACTTAAAATAACACTTCCAATGAAATTCATGCACAATGCTTTAAGATTACTTACAGAATTACATCAACTCAATGGTTCCTTGTGAGAGTAAGAATTACATCAACTCAATGGTTCCTTGTGAGAGTAAGAATTAAATATCTCCATAGTCCATAACTATTTTAAGTATGAGCTACTAATGAACACCATCTATTACTTCTACATTTCTTTGAGGCTGCATATTTCCTGGAGCACTGTAAATGAATTGGTATGCATGAGCCTTTTCATATTACTTATTTATAAGATTTTGCGACTTTAGGTATTTTCAAATAACATTGTAAGTATTTGTTAAAATTGAAACCCTTCTTTTGTTTTTCACATTTACAGGGTTCTGATCCAGTGTGCTTTCTTAAATATTGTTGTAAGCATGTGGGCTCACTATAGACTTTGGGACATTGCTTATATTCAAGAGTTTGTTCTCGTCTACGTGTTTTTTCATGGCTTCAAATTGAGCTAAAATGACTAAAGGCTTTCCCACACTACATTTACTCTCTCCACTATGCAGTCTTATGTGTGACAGAAAGACTGTGTGGTGATAAAAACTTTCCCACATTCTTTACATAGGATTTTTCTCAAATATGAGTTCCTTTCAAAAGTATTTGTTTTTTCTCCATAATGAGTTCTTTCAGGTACCTGAAAGAAACTAGAAGAATTGAAGGTTTTACTACATTTCTTATATTTATAGGGTTTCTCTCTAGTGTGAATTCTTTCACATATTAGATAGTAAGTGAGGCTAGTGAAGACTTTACCCTATGTTTTACCCTCAGGGTTTCTTTCTCAGTGTGAGCTCTTTATGTCTTTGAAGGTAACTGCAATAATATTTTCCCATAGTCCTTATGTTCATAGGTTTTTTTGGTCCAGTTGATTTCTTTTTGTATTTGAAAAGAAACAAGTAAAAGATTTCCCACATTGTTTACATTTATATGGTTTCTCTCCAGTAAGTCCTCTCATGTATTCAAAAGGAGTTATGATAACTGAAAGCTTTCCCACATTAATTACATTTAAATGGCTTCTTCTATGTGTTAAAAAGGCACTGACAGATTTAATGCTTTCTTACACTGCTTACATTCAAAAGGCTTCTCTCTAAGTGTGAGTACTTTCACATACCATATTGCAATGAATTTGGAGCTTCAAGGGCTTTCCTTCATACATTTATAAAGTCCACCTCCAGTGTGCTATCATGTGTCTTTGAAAGCTTGCATGGCAAAAGTAGCCTTTTCCACATTCCTTACATTCATAGGGTTTCTGTCTAGTGTGAGTCCTTTCATGCATTCGAAAGGAACTAGAAGATCTAAAGGCTTTACCACATTGTTTACATTCAAAGGGTTTCTCACCAGTGTGAATCATTTCATGTGTTCGAAAGGAGTTAAGATAACTGAAGGCTTTTCCACACTGCTTACATTGATAGGGTTTCTCTCCAGTGTGAATTCTTTCATGTATTCGAATAGAGGTGGATGAAACAAAAGCTTTACCACAATGTTTACATTCATAGGGTTTCTCTCCAGTGTGACTTCTTTCATGTATTCGGAATGGACTCAGAGAATGAAATGGTTTCCCACATACCTTACATTTATAAGGTCCATCTCCAGTGTGTTTTATCATGTGTCTTCGAAAACTTGGGATACAACTGAAGGCTTCCCCACATTCCTTACATTCATAGGGTTTTTCTCCAGTGTGAGTCCTTTCATGGATTCGAAAGGTACTGATAGATCTAAAGGCTTTACCACATTGTTTGCATGCAAAGGGTTTCTCTCCAGTGTGAATCCTTTCATGTAATCGAAGGGAGGGGAGGTAACTGAAGGCTTTCCCACACTGCTTACATTCATAAGGTTTCTCTCCAGTGTGAGTTCTTTCATGTATGCGTAAAGATGGGGAAGAAACAAAAGCTTTACTACACTGCTTACATTTGTAGGGTTTCTCTCCAGTGTGGGTTCTTTCATGTACTTGAAATGAACTCAGAGAATGAAAAGGTTTCCCACATACCTTACATTTATAAGGTCCATCTCCAGTGTGCTTTACCATGTGTCTTCGAACACTTGTGATACAAGTGAAGGCTTTCCCACATTCCTTACATTTGTAAGGCTTCTCTCCAGTGTGACTTCTTTCATGTGTCCGAAATCTACTAGGATAATCAAAGGCTTTCCCACACACTTTACATTTATATGGTACATATCCACTATGCGTTATCATGTGTCTCCTAATTCTTTTGAGAGAAAAGAAGGTTTTTCCACATTCCTTACAATCATAGAGTTTCTCTCCAGTGTGAACAATTTCATGTGTTCGAAAGGAGTGGTGAGGACTGAAGGCTTTCCAACACTGGTTACGCATATGTGGCTTCTCTCCATAGTCCTGATATTCACTTGGTTCATGTTCATTGTTATCTCTGATGGGCCTATTTAGGGATGAATGATCCATGCCGACTTCTCCACACATTTTGCTTTCACATGGTTTTACTCCAGGAGTTTTCTTGCTCAGATTATGATTTGGAATCTGGCTAAAAATTCCTCTACACCGACTACTTTCTTTACTTTGACAGAGCCTCTCTACCATATGACTTCTGTAAAAAATGAGAAGCGCATTACTAAAGATTTGTTTATTAATGGTTTCATATTAACAGCTATTAGACCTATATTTTTAACACTATCATGGAAAGTGTAGACTGGTCTTCGGCAAGGTGGCTCATGCTTGTCATCCTAGCACTCTAGGAAGCCGAGGCAGGTGGATCACTCTAGGAAGCCGAGGCAGGAGTTCAAGACCGGCCTGAGCAAGAGCAAGACCCTATCTCTACTAAAAACAGAAAAAATAGCCAGGCATTATGATGGGTACCTGTAGTCCAGCTACCAGGGAGGCTGAGACAAGGGGATGGCTTGAGCCAAAGAGTTTGAGGTTGCTGTGAGCTATGAACCCACACTCAACCCAGGGCTCAGAGTGAGACTCTGTCTCCAAAAAAGAAAAAAAAAGTATAGACTTGAAGGCATGTCTGACTTGCCTTTGAGCATGAATGGATTCAGTGCTCTGCAAGAGAGCTCCACAGCTGTTAGACAGCGTTTACATATAGAGTTCCGAAGTAAGAAGAGTTTTGTTTCTAAGTAAACATTTTTTTACAAACACTGAACATCTATTTACATTTAAGCATGTTTGGGTAGAAAATATTCCTAGCAAAAATAAATTTGAAGCTACCTGCTTTGTTTGCCAAGTGAATTTTCTAGAAGAGCTCAATCACAACTATTACATAAAGAGTGGTGTTTGTATACAGAGTTTCTTAATTCTAAGTGAACTTTTTTGCAAATGCTGAATATCTATTTACATTTAAGCATAAGTTTCAGGTAGTATTCTCTCCCTAAACTCACAGCACTTAGTCTAATCATGCGAGAAATGTCAGACAGTGGCTGTATGCAGTGGCTCAAACCTGTAATTCTAGCACTCTGGGAGGCTGAGGTGGGTGGATTGCTTGAATCCAGGAGTTTGAGATCAGCCTAAACAAGAACCCATCTCTACTAAAAACACTAAAACTAGCCAGGTGTGTGGTGGGTGCCTGTAGTCTCAGCTACTCGGGAGGCTGAGGCAAGCAGATTGCTCAGGCCTAAAAGTGTGAGGTTGCTGTGAGTTTTGATGCCATGGTACTCTACTCAGGATGACAGAGTGAGACTGTCTCAAAAAATAATAATAATTAATTAAAAAATAAGCATATGTTTTGGAGATAATTTTCCTAGAAAAACTATTGTTGATACTATTTCTTTTGTTTATCTATTTTTGCTAGATTTATTTCTTTTGTTTATCTATTTTTAAACTTTCCCAACATGCTAAGATAATGCCCAAGTGAATTCTCTTTCTGCGTGAGAGAAAATTACCTTAGATTTCTCCCTTGGTGTTTGTAGTGGTCTTCAATATTCTGGTCTTTCCGTTTTTTCCCTAAAACATAGACCCACAAAAATCATTATGACTTAGTACAAAATTCAGAAAAAATAGTAGATTCTAGGTTATGCCACACTGTGACTATGGATGGTTTATTTCCCAAAGTATTCTCCCCATGTTTCCAATCATGGACCAGTGTCAATATACAAGAAACATTGGTGAGAATGTTTCTTTTGACATTGGTCAATACACAAGAAACTAAGTGAGGAAAGAATCTAATTCTTACCTATAGAGGCCAAGTTCCTGATGGTTTCCCGCATGACATCTCTGTAGAGATTTTTCTGGGAAGGATCTAGCAAAGCCCACTCTTCCTGCGTGAAGCTCACAGCTACATCCTCAAAGGCCACTGAGTCCTGAAAATATCCCACATATGTGTAGAGAAGAATGGGTGAAAATGACAGCAATGTGGCTCTATATTCAACTCATAAAAAGTTCACATAATGGGGCAGAGTCTGTGGCTCAAAGGAGTTGGGTGCTAGCCCCATATACTGGAGGTGGCGGGTTCAAACCAGCCCTGGCCAAAAACTGAAAAAAAAAAAAAAAAAAAAAAGTTCACATGATGTTGTGATCTCCAACATTCCTTCCATGACATGGTCATCAGAATCTTGCTCTGTTCACATGCACCTCCTCCCACACATCAACTATGATACTAGAATTGAACTCTGGGGTGAAGAAATACCAACATCTAAACATCCCTCTCATTGGTGGTTCCAGGGACTAACATGTCTCTGGATCACACCAAATGTCTGTTTGTATGGTGGACTTCTAGCACCTTTCACAACAAAGTTGTACCATATAATGTGCAGAGGAGAGTTTATATGAGCAGTTCTAAGACTATATGCTTAAAAACACCTCCTGGCAATGTTCATCCATTGCCGGTATCTAGGAATTGAGAAGGGACTCCATTGACCTATACAATAAGAGTGGTATGGTGATCCTAAACTGTTTATGAAAAAAATGTAATTTCTGACCCGCTGTTTTCCTTCTCAGAGTTTGGGATTTTGTTACTTGCACAACACAGGGTACCTATATGATAACCTCTCCCCCAAAAAGAAAAACCACCCTAGGCACCTAATCACTAATGAACTTCTCTGGTAGAAAATATTTCATGTGTTATTTCATGTGAACTAGTTACTTAAGAAATTAAGACCATCTTTTGTGATCACACTAACGGAACATTTTCAAGCTGCACTTTCAGTCTCCCTGAAAAGTATCAAACTAAACTGTAATTTCACCACCTGGGGAGTTTCTGGCTCAGCGCCTGTAGCTCAAGCAGCTAAGGCACCAGCCATTTACACCAGAATGGGTTTGAATCCAGCCCGGGCCTGCCACACAACAATGACAACTACAACCAAAAAATAGCCAAGTGTTGTGGTGGGTGCCTGTACTCCTAGCTACTTGGGAGGCTGAGGCAAGAGAACTGCTGAAGCCCATGAGTTGGAGGTTGCTGTGAGCTTTGATGCCACAGCACTCTACCCAAGGTGACAGCTTGAGGCTCTATCTCAAAAAAAAAAAAAAAAAGACTACTTGGGTTTCTGACACTCATATTCTGCTTAGAATGAGGCTATTTATTTTAGAGAGTTTGTTTTTTTCCATTAACAAAGCAGCCAGGAGCAGTGGCTCACACCTGTAATCCTAGCACTCTGGGAGGCCAAGGGTCAAGAATTAGCTTTAGGTTAGGAGTTCCGGACTAGCCTGAGTAACAGCCAGACCCCATCTCTACTAAAAATAGAAAAAATTAGCCCAGTGTGGTTGCACATGTCTGTAATCCCAGCTGTTTGGAAGGCTGAGGTAAGAGAATCACTTGAGCCCAGGACTTTGAGGCTGCAGTGAGCTCTAACTTTTAACAGACCTGGAGCCAAGCAGACTCACCCCTCTCCCATGCATGACCCATACACACTGATTGAAGACTTTGCCTCATGAGGTTGAGCATCACAGGACCTGGCCCCTGGGTGTACCTGATTGTTTGACCTGCCCCAGATCCCTGTTGAGATTCAGCTCCAGGCTCTGCCTGCTGAGGTATGAAGAGTTAGGACATGTGGCTGGGGGAAGGGAGGCTCTTTCTAAGACACAGCACTAGGAAGGGGCAGGCCTTCTTCCACAACCCAATCCTTAAGGTCCCTTCCAAATATCTCCCCTAAGCCTTCCTTCTCCAAGCAAGGAAGTAACAGTGTGCAGGGGATCTGGACAACAGGAATCATCCTTGTTTTCCTTCCTCCTTTACTCATTATAAGTTTTGCAAGTGCCACTGCTTCTGGGTATCAATTTCTGTCTTGTTTCAGGATGCTACAACAAAAATATCATAAACTTGGTGGTTTAAACAAACATTTATTTCTCACAGGTCTAGATGCTTAAGAAGTCTGTGATTGAAAGTCTGGTGAGTACCTGTTTTCTGGTTCACAGACACCTGTCTTGAAGTGTCCTCACAAGACAGACAGCAAAAGCAAGCCTGCTGAGGACTGTAGGAAAATTCCATTATTGAGGCTCCATTCTCATAATCTAATCTAATCCTAATGAGCTTCCCAGGATGCTATTTCCGATTACATAATACTGTCACATTAGCGAATTAGGTTAAAACAAATTTGGGGCTGACATAAATATTCAGTGTCTAATGGGTGGTTTGTTTTTCTGATTCCATATGAAACGCAGAATCCTTTTTTTCAAATCTTGAAAGTAAGATGTTGGTATTTTAATAGGGATGGCGTTGAATCAATAAATTATTCTGGGAAGTATAGACATTTTAACAATGTTGATTCTTCCAAGCCATGAACATGGTATGTTCCTCCATTTGTTGATGCCCTCTGCTATTTCCTTTCTTAGGGTTTCATAATTTTCTTTATAGAGGTCCTTCACCTCTTTTGTAAGGTATATTCCTAAGTATTTCATTTTCTTTGGGACTACGGTGAAGGGAGTTGTATCCTTAATTAACCTCTCATTTTGGCTATTGTTGGTGTATACAAAGGCAAGTGACTTGTGGACATTGATTTTATATCCTGCAACATTACTGTATTATTCAGCCATCAAAAAAAATGGAGATTTTATAGCATTTGTAATAACCTAGATGGAGGTGGAACACATTATTCTTAGTGAAGCATCACAGGAATGGAGAAGTAAGAATCCTATGTATTCAACTTTGATATGAAGACAATTAATGACATGGTGGGGCACCAGGGAAAGGGAGATCAGACAGAGGAGTGAGGGGGTATGGGCAAAAATAATAATAATAATAATAATGACTAATTCCCATACAAACTGGATTTAATTTTGATCAATGTATATTACTTAAACATCAATTTTTAATTCAACATGTCAATGTTGTTTATCATATTGCATCCTTATTCATTAGTGAAATATGTCTGTAATTTCCCCCTTAATAATATTTTTTCTAATTTTACTATCAGAGGTATCCAGACTAAGTAGAATGATTTTTAAGTATTTCTATTTCTACTGTCTATAAGACTTGGTGTGATCTGCTTTTTTTTTTAGAAATTATTTTTTCCTTTTATTTATATATATTAGTAATCTATTTTTTTTTAGACTTTGGTAAAAACATAATAAGGAAAAAAATTTGCTATTTGTATTTTGTCTTGTGTATTCTGTAAAAAACAAGTAGTAAATGATTATGTATTCAAAAAAAATTGTACAGCTCTTGTTAAAGCTATACTGATAGGCACTTTCTATTTTGGTTGCTGATACAATGCTATCTTTCTTTTTCTAATATTATTTTGTAATTCTTTTTTATATAGGAATATAATTGATTTTGTACCGTTATTTTGAAGTTAGCTACATTGCTGAATTTTTCTATTGTTTTTGGTAACTTGCAAGTAACTTGGTAACTCGGAAGTAATGAAATCTGTATTTTTTTTTTTACAAACCATTGGGATTTTTAAGTTATCATAATTGTACTACCTAGGATCTTCAACTTTACTAGGAGTGGTGGTAATGAGTACATTTATCTGATAACTGATTTATAGATAATGCTTTTGTTTCCTCATAAAATTGATATATTTATCCCAATGTTATCTTCAATGATTATGGAAATGTTTTGCCTATAGTTGATGTTCTGTAAATATTCATAGAATAAAGGAGCCTGAAATTAAAAAAAAAAATCAGAGGATCACCTCCATAGACACAGAAAAGGCACATGACAAAATCCAACACTATTTCATGATGAAAATGTGCAACTAGGCTCGGCGCCTATAGCTCAGTGAGTAGGGCACTGGGCCACATACACTGGATCTGGCTGGTTCAAACCCAGCCCAGGTCTGCCAAACAGCAATGACAACTATAAAAAAATAGCTGGGTGTTATGGCTGGCACCTGTAGTCCCAGCTACTTGGGAGGCTGAGGCAAGAGAATCGCTTAAGCCCAAGAGTTTGAGGTTGCT